CAAGGGTAGCTGTGAAGGCTATCTCGTTTCTATGGTGTCCGATGTTGTTGATGAGCGAACTCCCGAGAGAGTGTCCATTGTTTGCGAGTATCTCGACGTCTTTCCAGATGAACTGCCAGGAGGTCCGCCCGATCGCAGAGTTGAGTTCACCATTGACCTAGTCCCAGAAGCTGGTCCCGTTTCCAAGGCCCCCTATCGTATGGCGCCGAAGGAGCTTCAAGAGCTCAAGGCCCAAATCCAAGAATTGCTCAAGCTTGGTTTTATTCGACCGAGTGTCTCCCCTTGGGGTGCGCTCGTTTTATTTGTAAAGAAGAAGGACGGATCAATCCGCATGTGTATCGATTATCGCGAGCTTAACCATCTTACGGTTAAGAACAAGTACCCTCTTCCTCGTATTGAGGATCTCTTCGACCACCTAAGGGGAGCCAGTGTCTTTTCGAAGATCGATTTGAGGTCTGGCTATCATTAGCTGAAGATCCGAGAGTCGGATATTTCTAAGACAGCGTTCCGTACCAGATATGGCCACTATGAGTTTGTGGTGATGCCATTCGGACTCAGTGCGGAAACGTTTATTAGTCCACTCACTCTCCTTGAGGAGTGTACGTTAAAGGCACGCCTCTGCGACCATCTGAGGATTCGCAGAGACAGAGGTCTCGACCACAGGAATGGTTGAGTTTGTGCGGGGAGAGGTCGACTGCTGCTCCTCGACCACTGGTATAGTCGAATTGGTAAGAGAAGAGGTGGAGTGTTGATTTCCCTGCGGGAGCGGGTGCGATTGTCCCTCGACCGGTGGGGAGGTCGAGTAGGGAAAAGGCTGCTCCTCGATAATAGGCTCCTGGACTGGCGTACTTTGAGTCTCGAACTCCATGGAAGAGGTCAAGTGGTCGGGTTGTGGTACGGTCGAGTCAGAGGGCTGAGAGCCCGAGGCCTGGGTGGGCTTCTTTTTCAGAGAACCCCTCCTCTTGGGCAGTGGAACAACGGGCATCTCTGCAAAGAAATCACAAAAACATGTTAGCATCATAATAAACAATTTGTAGGAAGGTACGAGCACAATAATACTCGAGCACATTAATTAAGAACTACCTGGATCGCCCTTTACTCGAATAGAGTCAAGGACTTCTTTGGTTGGAGGAGATAGGGACTTATGGGTAAGAATACCATAGAAATGCAGAAGGTTCTCATCCCGCAAGAGGATGTTGGAAGCAACAAGTTGGAGTTCCAAACAGCGAAGTGTTGGTCGAACAAAAGATCTGACGGAGGAGTCTCTAACTCAAAGAGAAGTTCAGTGAGCCAAGGGGCAGACTCCCATGGAAAGTTAACGTCAGGGTCGACATATACGAACTTGTCCTTCCATCCAGGACAATTCGAGGGAATATCAAAAATAAAGTGTGCGCCGTTGCGGCTTTTTAAATACAAACCCTACGCTTGCTTCGAGGGCATGTAAATACTTACAGAAACCTAGGTCGAACCGACCTAGTCGAACATGAGAGAGGATAAGAAAGGTGGTTAAAAAGCGAATGGAGTTGGGAGGAAGTTGATTTAAAGGGAGGCTGAACCATTTACATATCTCGACGAGATCAAGACAGAGAGGAAAACGGATACCCAGGTTAAATTGGATTTTGAAAAAGGTGTAATAGTTAGGGGAGGGAGGATGTTTATAAGAGTTGGCACCGAGAGCTCCATAGAAGGCCTAGCATAGAGGCTTGCCTATTTTATCCAGATCGAGCCAATCGGTCAAAGAAGAAGTCGAGCGGGATTTCTTAGATTTAGGGCGAGGAGTAGAATAGTTAGGGGAAGGTTTGACTTTGGTATGTTTCGAGGGAGTAGACGAGGTCGGAGTCTTGGCCTTGGAGGTCGCGGGTCGGGACGTCTTCTTCTTGGTCGACGTCGCAGCGTTAGGTGGGGCAGAACAACGGGACAGAGGAATGTGATCCTCATCTTCTTCGCGGACCACCTCGCTGGCGTCTAGGGCCACTTCAGCCGCATCAGAAGCACCGAAAGCAGGCCTACGATGACGGGTGAGAGGAACATGATCAAGAATATCATCGTCTGATTCATTGATTAGACGATGAGGTTGAGGCGGAGGAGCAGACGCAGAATAGTCATCGGACGATGCACGTTGAGAGAAACAACTTGGTAAATTTCTTCAACAGAATTAGAAGGAGAATGTGGTATTGGTCGAGGAGTCGGAGATGAAGAGGGAGAGGACATGTCCTTGTCAGAGTGGCGGTCGTTCTCACTGGAGGTAGCGGAATCTGAAAAGTAAGGGAGAAAGAATTCAAAGGAAAAAATTTAGGGTTTTTGAGGAAGAGCGAAGAAGAAAATAGAAGGGAGGATTTTACGGCTAGGGCATAAATGAAGTTCCAGAAAAATTAGAATCAACAAAAGAAAAGCACACAAATTCAAAACATAGAGGACTTACTCATGGTTGCAGTGGGGAGAGATCGCTGGAGAACTTGAAAACCTTTTGAAGGAGAATCGTCGGAAGCAAAAAACTTGATTTGTAGAAAAGAGATTAAGGCACAGGTGAATTCGAAATTTTGCGAAGGTGGAAGAAGCCGGAAAATCCTAAGTACGAATATTTACAGATGGATAAGGAAAGCAAGGTGAAGATTTAATGAAAGTAGCCGTTGGATTAAAGCGAAATCTAACGGCTGGGAGTATTTAAGGGGCACAAATAACGAAACGGTGCAAATCACGAGGAGCTGTGATGATGGGTGTATCTGAAAAGTAGGACAGATGGCAGAACGAAACGACATTATGATGATGGAAAAGAAGGACGGTTGAAGATCAGGAGAAAAACTCACTAAGTGGTCAAAGAATAGGAGAAAAGCACCAGATAGTCGATAAACAGAGAAACTGGAGGGGGCGAGCACAGGTTCACTCTTAGATCGAGTCATTTAGACTCGACCCGAGTGGGGGGGACTAGATGATATAGGATACTATATGGCTAAAGGAGTAAACCGGTTCACTAAACCAGTCACACGATCTAACACTGAGGAAGGCGCGCTAGTCGAACGTTATCGAGCTGGATGGCAGTGGTCGAACACTACGGGAGAGGGGTGAGAAGAATCGTGGTAGGGGATATACGCTAGTCTCGAGTGCATGAGGGATCTGAACGAAGATCGACTGGATCGAGCATGTGGTCGGCTGATCGACCACTTCATTGGTGGAGAGCAGTCTGAAGGTTGACTTAAACACAAGAGAGCTCGTGAGTTTCTAAGGTAATTTCCAAGGAATATTCAAGGGAATAATTACCCATATGCATAGGACACATGGCGCAAAGGTTTTGGCATTTGGCGATAACCGCTTCTGACACACGCACAATGTGTGTGTACGGATGGGCAGGCCTAGGCAACTTTGGGCAGACAGCTCATCAAATCTGGGCAGCCCCTAGGTCAGGTATCTCACCCCTATATATATAGGGGTAAGCTTTTTTTTGTTGAGCAAGATTTATCCATTTTTACTCTTGAGATTTGAGTAGAACAAACACTGACTTAAGCATCGAAGGCTCTTCACCGAAAAACCTCTCCAGTGTGAGAGTTCTTTGCAGGTACGCGGCGTTCCACCGACGAGGAGGAAGGAGGCAAACTGATTTCCAGCCGGTAGGAGTGTTTTGCGTTACCAAATACATTATCTTGACACTTAGAAAAATTCACTAGAATTCATACTTAGTCGAATATTATCGACTAAGAAGTTGGTGAAATTTTGGGAAACTTTGAACTTTTGGATTTGAATAAAAAAATTGGAAAAATCATTTAATAATGTAAAAAATGGACTCAGCACAGAAAACGAGAACAATGGGTCGAAAATGAGTCAAATAGTTCGGGAAAAACGAAAATCGGTCGCTGCGGGCTTGGTACGGACGCGGGTTGGGCCGATCAAGACGCTGTCGGGCTCACCTGGGTGCGTTGGGGAGCGGCTGTTGGACTCTATATGGGGCCACTGAAGACGTGGGAACACGTGCAGACAACGCTGGGTGAAGGCTGGACGCGCGACGTGGCTCGGGGAGATGTGCGGGACGGCAATGGATGACGGCCGAGGCACAGGCAACTGCTGCGTGTCTCAGCACACACCACTGCGGGCTTTGCACGTGCGTGCGCCACTGCTGCGCATCGCGTGCTGGACGCCTGCCAGCGGTGCTGGCTGTCGCCCGAGGCCACTTTCTGCTCCACATCTCAACCGAACCTTTTGGAGACTGGCTCGGGCTTTTGGAACAAAATTTTAACAAAATAACATAGACTCAAAGAAGGACCAGAATACCAAGGATTGACCTAAATGGACATCTCCAACATATAGATCAAATAATTTGAACTAAAGGCTTACAAGGGGAGGGTTACAGTTCAATGAGCTAGGCTTGGAGTTTAGATCTGAAAATGTAATAGCATCCTCAATATGATAAAAGACTCCTAACCTCAGATAATCAAGAAATTTAATCGAGCCACTCAATTTACACAATTTTTCAAAGTTTTGAGGCACATAGAGCATGTTTGGGTTCAGATAGCTACAGGTCGAGTTAAAGGATGTACCTTTAACACATCATACCGCAATATAACAGAATACAACCCTCAAAATCTCATATCAAAATAACAAGTGTACGATTTTTTCATAATTTTACAAAGATCCTAAGGACACTAGGGCTTCAAAAATTCAAATAGGCCTCAAGACTCAACAAAAACGACCATGGCCTTTCAAATCAGACCATGGATGACCAAGGATTTCATATTTCCACAAGAATTCACATGAGCAAGCCAGATCTATCATGATTTCAAATAAACTGAATAGATCTCGACATAAAATCATATATCCAATTAAATACTCAATAGATCTAATCAAAATCAACCTAAACACATAGGATCAGAGGGGTAAAACCATCATTTACCGTACACCAAGGGAATCCACATGCTGGTTGGCCGCAGAACAAGTGAATTGGTAGCAAGGATGGCCTCGGCGGCTGCGAGCGACTCGACTCGTGTGTGGGTGGCTGCGAGTGATCTCCAATGAACGACCTCGACATCCCTGGGTCTGCTCGCGACGTCCACGGAAGGAATAGGCCCAGATCGAGAGGGAATGGTCCGAAGGAACTCGCGCGGGTGAAGGGTCGCTGATGGCGGGTGTATGCTCGCGGATAGGCGCGCCGGCGGCGGGTGCAGCAGTTCGGTGATGATGCGCAAGGGAGAGAGAGTCGAAGGCGATGGATTTTTGCGATTTTTCTTGAGAGCTTCAGAGGGAGTTTGAAAGAAGAAGTTGTTCAGGGATTGCTAAGTCAATGAGAGGAAAATGCGTGAGAATGGTGAGTGATTAGGAGTGAATTTCCTTAAGTAATGGCCAAGGCATTAATGAGGATCTTAATGCCTTAATTAGCCACTTAATTTGCCCCATCCAAGGGCCAAACACGGCTGAGGTGAGAAGTGTTAGATATGCTGTAAAAGCTTGACTTTCAGATATGAACAATTCCATTTTGATCTGACAATCGTGTTTTAGTCAAAGTATTTATGTTTGCAGTTTATTTATTTATGCAATCATAACTCCATTATTTTACATTGTAGATAACATGGTTCGTCGTGTTGAACAGTAAGATCATATTATCGGTTCCTTGTGAAATATAAATTAATTGTTCACAGTTTAGACAGGCAGTGAGACCCCTGTTTGAAAAAGACTGTAGTGTAGTCTTGATTCAGTTAAAATTTGACTGATGGATTATACTAGTACTTAAGTATTGAATGGACCGCGGAAGGATAAGATTATAAGATTTACTGATCGTTGTTACAATCTAGATCTTCAATGATTGATGCATTCTTTTAAGCTGTAAGATAATATAAAATGGGCATATATATTCATTACTTATTTATTTGATTTACCAAGGGTGATTCCTATTCTGTTAGGATGACATACTCCCTATTTTGGTAAGTAAGAGTGTTTATATGATGTTCCGTTATAAATTAATTACAGTCATTATGTCTCAGTGCGCTGGGTTGATGACGTCCCCTAAATGAGCTCAGGAAGGAATATTATGTCAAACCCTGCACGTGGATAATTATCCGACATAATGATTAATGAACTGAGTGGTACTAATTTCGGAAATGAATGAAGTCAATTTAATTTAATTGTCAATAATTAAATTAATTGATTGACGTTATAGCTTAAACATAGGGAGGTAAATCGGTCGAGTAGATTAATATTAATTAATCATTTGGAGGTTTGATTTATTGAATAAATTAGAGCTAAATGGGGAGAGCAATAATATTACTCTAGTGGGATGTTTTATTATTTTATTCTAATTAGGATCTTAGAAATTAATTATATTCCATATTTTAGATTCCATTAGGAGATGAATATGCCTTCTAGAATATTACCTAGGGTTAGGAGACTATGGAGTCTTCTAAAAGGTAATAAAGGTTAATAGGAATAGCTTTTAGATGTGATAGGATCAGTGTTCTAAAAGTCGTTAGGCGCCCGCTAGGCGCTCGACCAGCGCCTAGCGTCTAGAGCGCCTAGTCGGGGCCCAGAAATCAATATTAGATACTTTATTTTTTATTTATTTTAACTACCTACAAAATAAAACTATCTCGACGTATAAGGGGGCGATTGTCTATCATTTCTACAGTAAAAAACCCAATCAAAACTCAAATTTAACTCAACTTTAACTCAACTTCACTATCTTCAATATTATCAATATAATTAAATAATATCACCAAATCATTCTTACACATCACATCAACTTTAATTCACTATTCATCTACTCACATAATTTTAACTAACTACCACTTCCAATCATTTTCTCCTACTTTTACATCAAATCAATTTAATTATTTTACTTTAAACATTATTTTAATATATCCACTACCAACTAACCATACCACCTTTTTTCAAACTTAACTATAGTTAAAAAATAACTAGTTTTTTACTAGGTGAATTCATATCCAATCACCCCCTAATAAATTCACACACCAAAGTCCAAATAATAATATTAATATATATTAAAGAAAACATAATAACAAAATAATGTAATTAGTATTTAGGAAAAAAAAAAAAAACTGAAAAATCGTCGTCAAGCCCGCCTAGGAGCGCCTAGGTCCGCCTACGCCCGCCTAGACGCCGCTTAACCGCCTGGCCGCCGAGCACGCTAAGCCCGCCTAGGAGCGCCTAGGACCGCCTAGGCGCCGCCTAGCTGCTTGGCCGATTTTATATGCCGAATTGTACAAATCGGAGGCGCCCGGGAATCGCCTAGGCCGATTTTTAGAATAGTGGTGTAACGCCCCGTTCGATTTATAGAATTTCTCAGAATATTCTATTTATCGAATATTATTTATACGGTTATATTTATTTTATTGGTCGCGATGTTGACTTAAATAAAAGGTTGGAATACTCGATTGTTTTATTGAAAAAAAAAATATTCGTCGTTCGGCAATTACGGTTTAATCGCGTGAACCGATTGTAAATCCGTTGAATTATGGAATTTTGAGAATTATTTATTATTATTATTATTAATTATATTTATTTGTTGTTATTATTATTATTGAATGCTAGAAATTATTAATTGTCTAATGTGGTTTATTTGTCATATTGTTTAATTGTCTAAATCTATGTACTATATAATTAGGCAACACAGTTACTAAAAGTAGAAAGTTTTTCAATAGGTCCCATTAACTATTACTAAAGCGGAAAGTTTTCTCCATACGTGTCATGTGTTAAAAAAACTGATTCATTAATAGGTTGTAAAAGTGGGGCCCAAATGTATTTCTATTTATGAAAAACCGTTCCAAAGGTGGAGTGTGTTTCTAATTTTTTTTTTTCGTTATTTCAAACTACTTTTATTTATTTTGATAAGCGAAAAATGAATTGCAATGAGTAAGTTATAGTGTAAATTAAATATTAGGTTAAATTTAAATACTTCCTAAAAAATATGATGAGACTTGTATTATATATTAGGTTAAATTTTAAATCTTTCCTAAAAAGTATGATACGACATAAAGTTCTATTGTGTCTATACAATTAACAAATAAATTTATTATTAATATAAAGAAATAATTATTTTATATGAGGATGTGTCAGGTTAATTTTTTCTTCAATCTGTTTACCCTTTTTTTTAATTCTAAAATTTTAGTTTTGGCCTTCCATGTGTTAAATTCATTTTTGTTCTTTAAAAAATGTAAAATTTTAAATATTTAAGAGCTGTGTATATAATTATTTAAAAACAAATAGAGATACTCTATTAGTAGTTATTACAAAAATTATGGTCTTTCATATGGATAATGAATATCATGAAGAAAAAAAAGTAAAATGAGGTATGAGATTATGGTAATGTACTTTAATTAACTAATTTATATATTGAATCCATTTCTTAGTAGGGCTTGCAGTATGAATTAATTAATATACATTCAACTAATTTAATATTTTTATCATTAATTAATTTATATATTGTATCCGGGCTGCAGTATGAATTAATTAATTTACATCAATTAATTTAATTTTTTGTCATGATATGTTTTAATTGGCGATAAGATATGTAGCATTTTCACTAATTTTTTACCAAAATAAAATGAGTGTTATGTAGGACCTACATAGGGTGTATATAATACTCACATTTAGTAGGACCCTACTCATGTGAGTGTTATGTACACATCTATGTACATTTATTATGTGCTTGTAGCATTTTCCAAATAAAATAGCTCAATCAGGATATTAGTATTTATCCCTTAATCTATTCGATTATATATATAAGTAAGATAATTTGTTTTAGGAGAAAAAAAATCAATTATTTCAGTTGCATGATTTCATTAATTTGTATTTAATTAAATTACTAGAATTTTTGTAGTGGGGTAATGACCTGGTACTTTAGTGGGCAACCTGCACAACTACCACTTTCACAATACGGTTATGCTAGCAATTCTGCAATACATATTATGGTACATATACTTTAAATTCTTTGGTAATTAATCAATGTCTTCACACTACTGAAAATGATGTCAACATGAATTAAACAAAGTGGTCAAAGTTTGCCTTATTTTACATGACTTTGAGGTAACTTTTTTAAAAAAATAAAAAATAAAAAATGGTTGAATTATTCATAAGTGCTACAATTTTTTTAATGTTTACAAACTTATGTTCTTTTTAGTACAAAATTCATGATTGAAGTGGGAAAAGTTCAGAATTAGAAGAAAAGAAAGAGGATGGTAAAAATAATTATATTTGCATGTATAATTTTTATTTGTATTTTGTACTTTTTAAAGAAACAAATTTTTATTTCTTAGCACACAAATTTTCTTTTTCTTAATTTCACTGTACTAATTTATGTTTGGTATTGATATATGGCACAATTTTTTTTTCTGGATTATATTAATTTAATATTATTTTTTAAATTCCATTTTCACTTAGTTTTATTGATTATCATAGTTAGTTTTATATTGATTCTTGCTTTTTATTATTATCAACATAAAAAGATTAAAAATAATAATATGAAGATACGACCAATTAACTTTTACGAACAAAAAGAACATGAATATAAAGAAGTATTGAATAATTTATAATTTTTTATCTGTACGATTATACTTTGTTTCTTGACGTCAATTTCTTTTAATATGTCGCGTGCATTTGCACGGGCAATAATACTACTATTAATTAATTGCATAACTGTCTAAGTGTTACTAATTTATTAAAATGTGTATTTATATTTTTACTAATGTCATTATTATTTTAAAAATTAAATTTGTGTGTATTATCAATATATAAATTATACATTTGGTTTGTTTATTTATTTGTGCGACCCCCGAGAGCGGATACGTTTCATTGAACCAAACCCTAATCTGGCCCAAGCCCGGGCCCGGCCCGACAGATTTTCCTCTGTTTTGCGCGTGTGTGGAATATCTTGTGTCCCAAGATTTTTATACCCTAATGCTAAGTATATATATATATATATATACATATATATATGTATATATATGCGTCCCCCTCCTCTTTCACGCTGATGAGATAATCCCGTTTCCCTGCAGCTTTTCTCTCCTTCGTTTCCCTCAGTCGCGATCTCTTTGAGAAGCAGAGAAGAGATTTCTCTCGATTGATCATCGTCCTCATCCCCTCCATCCTCCATCGTTACCATCATCACCTTCATCATCTCCACCTCCATATCCGGTCCCCACACTGTTGAACCCTGCCGGCGTGAAAATCCGTCCAGTAATCATCATCCCGTCATCGCAGCATCAACATCATCACGCCATCGCCTTCACCATCCGTTCGTCTTCAACCTGTGAGCGCGCCATCATCTCCGCCGCGAACAGAGATGAGCCCGACGACCCTCGTCGTGAAGCTCCACCCCTGTAATGCCCTGTTTGGAAATATGGAATTTTGAGAATTATTTATTATTATTATTATTATTATTATTATTATTATTATTATTATTTATCTTTATTTGTTGTTATTATTATTCGTTGAATGCTAAAATTATTAAATGTCTAATGTGATTTATTTGTCAAATTGTAATTAATTGTTTAATTGTCTAAGTGTTGTTATTTAATTAAAATGTGTATTTGTATTTTTATTAATATTATTTTTTTTTTAAATTTAATTGTGTGTATTATAAATATATATATAACCGGTTTATGAAATTAAATTGTTGAGCCCGAGTAAAACCGAAATCCTGAACCATTAGGCGAACCGGCCGACCCGCGAGCCCGACGACCCAGACCCAGTTTTTCCACCCATTGTGCACGTGTGTGTGGTGTTATCTTGTGTAACAAGATTATTAAACCCAAACCTTGTATATATATATACATATATATATATATTATGCCATTTAATCCATTTTCATAGTGCGGCTATGGTCAAAATCCTACCTTAAATTCAATCCTAATTTGTATAATTTTAATAAGGGATGACCTCTCAATTTCTTTAATTTCGGCTCCCCATATCTCCATACCCCGTAATGCAATCCCTTTGATTTGGAGCGATCCATTTGATTTGGAGCAATCCCTTTTTCCTTTATTCATTCCCATATTCTTGGTAAACATTTTTTTAAATCTTTTTTTTTTCGTTTGGTATATAAAAGAAGATTAGTGGAGTATAAAATTTCACTTTCCTCAGCCTTATACGTGTAGAAGCAGAATAACCACTTTATATTTTTCCTTTCCTTGTCGTTTGCGCGAGAGAGCAGCAAAGGAAAATTTTCATAATTTCTGCTCAGTTCATCTTCCCCGCGAGAAGGCCGCACGCAAATCGAGCCCGTCAACTCTCGTGTTTGTTCCGTTTTTGTTCGATTCCCGAGAACGGTACAAGGCTTGACCCGTCTCGTTTAATTTTTCTTCTCGTTTATGTTGTGTATTTGGTTGTCATATGTGAAGGTTTAATTCAAGAATATATGTTTATGTGATTTTATGTATATCCGTTAAACTATTTGTGTCGTTTATGAAATTGTGCGTTGACGAGCCTTTCGATTTGGGAAAATCGAACGAGGCCTCGTCAACTCGTGAATTTGTCGTTGTGGACTGGAACTTACGTCATCCATAGTCTTATGGCGAAAACTTCGGACGGATTCGTCGCAGAATGAGTCGGTTATGAATTAACAATTTTGTATTGTCGCTGTTTTGGTAGATAAATTATGATAAATTTTGTGATTCTCGTATTGCTGTGAAATTTTGTGTGCTCGACCCTCTGCTGGAAATACATGTTGTGTAAAAATTTCAAATTTAAATAATAGGTTTAGCTATTTTTAATAATTATTTGGAAATCTGAGAATAAATCTTGTAAAATGCATATTAAATTCCGTTGTGCCTCAAAAATTATGAAATTTGGATATGTTCTCTTCCTCTATGTTTTATAGGTCGTGTAAAAGATTTGGAATTTTTGGACTTTTTTTGCTATATTTAAAAATTGTTTGTTGTATTCTGCAGCTTCATAATTTAATTTTATTAAATTGAATTCTTGCTGGAAACTTCTGAAACATTACTGAGAGGCTTATTTTATGTACTTATGCACGCTGTTAAAATATGAAAATTTTTGGAGTTCATTTTAGTTCGATTTTGATTTAAATTTGATAAACTGCTGAATCTCGTTTGAATTTTTAAAAATAGTAGCAGTTGATGTTAAAGGCTGAGATTTTTATATGTTGTTTATATCATGCTGTAGTGCATTTTGTAAAATTATATAGTCCTGAATCATTCATTAAGTTTGAGTATAAATTCATGGCTCGGTTTTGCTGATATCTTGTGAGAATTTTATAAAATAGTGTACTTGGGATTTGAAACTGAAAATTTGTGTATTCTCTTATCTCTGGGAGGTAAAATTTATGTTAAAATTTCAGAGCTAAATTCATATGGCAACCTGGTCAACTCATTTTTGTGATTTAAACTTGTATAATCGTAAATGTGGTTTTTAGAATGAAAACTGTTAACCGATTCGTCATTTGTTTCATTAAGTGTTTGACTTGGTCAATGTGTATGATTGGATTATGTGAACTCCCATGTGTAATTGATTGAGTCTAGATGTCGAGTCTTAGGGTTCCAACATCCACAGGACTTCACGAACACCTTAGTTGAATCAAGTTCGACTAAAGACACTACCGGCAGATCTCAAATATGTTTTCCTTGAAGCTGGAGAATCAAAACCAGCCATTATCTATTCGGGGCTTTCAAAGGAGGAGGAAGAACTCCTTGTTGAAGTACTCAAGGCAAACAAAGAAGCCCTTGGGTGGAGCTTGAGCGATATAAAAGGAATTAGCCCGGCGACTTGCATGCATCGGATCATTCTTGAAGATAACTCTAAACCGATCCGGAAGGGCCAAAGAAGATTGAATCCAACTCTTATGGAGGTAGTGAAAGGGGAAATCCTCAAGCTCATCAAAGAAGTGATCATTTATGTCGTAGCGGTTAGCGAATGGGTGATCCCCGTACATGTGGTGCCCAAGAAGAACGGAATCACGGTGGTTGAAAATAACAAAGGAGAACTTGTTCCAATGCGGGCTACCACAGGATGGCGTATGTGCATTGACTTTAGAAAATTGAACGCCGCCACGAGGAACGAGCATTTCCCTCTCCCATTCATTGACCAACTCCTAGACAAGCTTGTCGGACACCCATTTTACTGCTTCCTTGATGGATTATCTGGGTACTATCAAGTCCCAATTGCTCCGGAAGATCAAGCGAAGACCACCTTTACATGTCCATTTGGTACCTTTGCGTTCCGTAGGATGCCGTTCGGGCTTTGCAACGCCCCCGCCACATTTCAAAGGTGCATGTATTCTATCTTTTCTGACATGACTGGTGATTTTATTGAAATTTTCATGGATGATTTTTCGGTGTTCGGTAATTCTTTTGATGATTGTCTTGCCAAACTTGATAAAGTGCTAGGTCGATGCACTGAAAATAACTTGACCCTTAGTTGGGAAAAGTCTCATTTCATGGTGCCTAGTGGAATTGTGTTAGGACATGTTATCTCGTCTAAGGGGATTGAGGTGGACAAGGCAAAAATAGATGTCATTGAAAGTCTTCCTCCCCCAACTTCTGTGAAGGGGATTCGAAGCTTTCTAGGGCATGCCGGTTTTTATCGGAGGTTTATAAAAGACTTTTCAAAAATTGCCCGTCCCCTTTGTGCCTTGCTTGCTCTTGACGCGCCTTTTAATTTTGATGAACAATGTTTGCATGCGTTCAATGAGTTGAAGCGACGATTGGTTACTGCTCCTATTGTTATGCCACCTGATTGGAATTTGCCATTTGAAATCATGTGTGATGCCTCAAATTATGCTGTAGGGGCAGTGCTGGGCCAAAAGGTTAATAAGAAACATCATGTAATCGCATATGCTAGCATGACCTTGAACGAAGCACAAGTTAATTATACCACGACTGAAAAAGAATTCTTGGCTATTATTTTTGCATTGGAAAATTTTCGTGCTTATGTGGTTGGGTATAAGGTCATAGTGTATAGTGATCACGCTGCATTGCGACATTTGTTGGCGAAAACTCAGTCTAAACCGAGGTTAATTAGATGGGTGTTATTACTCCAAGAATTTGATGTAGAAATATTGGATAGAAAGGGGTGTGAGAATGTAGTTGCTGATCATTTTCTCGCCTTATTTTGCCATCTGATTCTTGTGATTTACATGTATTGATGATACATTCCCATATGAAAATGTCCTTCTTGTTGATAATGTGCCTTGGTTTGCTGACATTGCCAATTATTTGGCAAGTGGGATTGTGAATGATGAACTATCCTTCCAAGAACGGAAGAAATTTCTTGCGAAATGCAGGTATTTTCTTTGGGAAGACCCATACCTCTTTTCACCTCGGCAAGAATGAGGTGATCCGAAGATGCGTGGTCGAACATGAACAGAAAGATATTCTTGCCGGTTGCCATTCATCCAACTGCGGCGGACATTTTGGAGGACGAAAGACGGCCCGCAAAGTACTTCAAAGCGGATTTTATTGGCCGACACTCTTCAAAGATGCCCATGCTTTCTCCACCACATGCAATCGGTGCCAACGGACGGGCAATATTGGGAGGAGAAATGAGATGCCCATGAATATCTTTATGCCAGTCAAGATCTTCGATCTGTGGGGAATCGACTTCATGGGACCATTCCCAAATTCTGACGGCTTTGAGTATATTTTGGTGGGAGTCGAGTACATCTCAAAATAGGTGGAAGCTATTACGAGCAGGACTTGTGATACGAAGGTAGTGGTCAAATTCGTTTAAGAACACATCATCAACCGCTTCGGTTTCCCACGAGCAATCATAAGCGATGGTGGATCTCATTTTTGTAACAAAATTTTCAAGAAGCTAATGGAGAGAAATGGGATCACTCACAAAGTTTCTACCCCCTATCACCCTCAAACTTCGGGGCAAGAGGAAACAAACAATAAGCAGATTAAGGCCATTCTTGAAAAAACCGTTGGTGCTTCCCGAAAAGATTGGTCTAAGAAGCTCGGTGATGCATTGTGGGCTCACAGAACGGCATACAAAGGAGTCATCGGAATGAGCCCTTTCCGGTTGGTATATGGGAAAGCATGCCACTTGCCGGTTGAGGTGGAGCACCGTGCATATTGGGCCACCCGAATGTTGAATTTTGAGTTAGGGGTGGCCGGGAAAGAAAGGTGTTTACAACTCAGCGAACTTGATGAATTGAGGAATGAAGCATACGAGAGTTCGAAGAGTTACAAGGAAAAAGTCAAGAGGTTGCATGATTCGAAGATACTAAGAAAGGCACTTCTCCCGGGAATGAAAGTACTACTTTTTAACTCACGACTTTGACTCTTTCCTGGGAAACTGAATTTAAGATGGAACGGACCATTTGTTATTGAAGAAGTATTTCCCTCCGGTGTAATCAAACTCCTCAACCCGATCGATAAGTCGACATTTCAAGTGAATGGACATCGGGTTAAGCCGTATTTTGAAAATGAAGCTAAGGAGATTGGAGCTCTTTACACTCGGCTTGAGGAGCCGGTCAACTCTTGAACCTCTCGTTTTCGTCGAGCTCTCGACGTTAAACCGAGCGCTTCGTGGGAGGCAACCCATGTGTTTCATTTTATTTCTTAAAAAAAAATAAAAAATTGAAGGAATTGGCCCGAGCCGAACCGCTCGGCAATACCGAATTTTTAGTGTCGGGCCAACATTTTGCATTTTTTTAGCAAGGCGCGTGTGCACGCACAGTGGTGACCACGAGAATTTCCGACCTCGGCGAACCTCCAACCACCTACTGCGACATGTCTCGGCTTGTGACATCGCCCGCAGCACCTCTCTGACTAGCCCCGTGCAGCCTGACCGAACCCAGAACCATCTGAGCCTTTATGCAACCAACCGAGCCATGAGCCATATCAGACCACCGAGCTATGACACATTGGCATTCTCTCATTCCCTGGAGTTCAAGGCAGTTTTCGGTAGCTCGCTTTGACATTCAATATCTTTGGGACACACCACAGACCGCCGCCCCAGCCCTGCCACGAGCTCGCCGTCGATGGAGTTCGTTATTTTTGGTTTTCTTTTGGACAGCTTCTCTCGACTCCGGAGACTGTTATGGAGGTCGGCTCCGACGATTGTGGAGGAGGGGGACTACAAGTCAACGACCGAAGTGGTTGAGGTGTTTGGCCGGCATATGTGAAAAATCGAAATGGTCGGAAGAAAACGCTGGCATCTGTGAGTTGGTTGATGGCGGCAGATGAAGGCGTGGCGGCGGTGGATGAAGGCGACGGCAGTTCGGCTGGTGGCGGTGACGAGGGCGTACTGGGCGGAGGCTGGCGCGCCGGTGAGAGGAGAGGTCACGGTTGATGTGCGGCTGTGAGAGAGGTTGCGGGTGGCCGCCGTCGATGGCGGGAGATAGCCGGCAATGGCGGGGCGACGACTGGTGAACCAACCTGTGAATGTGTGTGTTTGTGTGTTTTTTTCTGTGTATACTATGTGTGTGTGTGTGTGTGTTAATTGTGACAAAGAGAGAAAATGGGAGAGTGTAATTGAGAGAGAGGGAGAGCATGGGGTCGGGTAGTTGGCAGGTAGGTTGGGTAGTTGGCAGGTAGGTGTTGGTGTATTAATGTGGAGTGGGTCCCACTTATTTGAATTGGTGTGAAAAAATACCATAATGCCCTTAATGAAGGTATAGATTTGACTTTTTTATTAGCCATTAGATCATCCGATCTGATGGTTAAGATTTATTCTTATTTCTCGCATTAAGCACCATTCTCATGTGAGCGCGACCCTATATATATAGGGTTGAGTTCACATGAGAATGGTTCTTAATTAAAGAAATGAGAATAAAACGTGGCCATTAGATCGGATGATCTAATGACTAAAATAAATGTCAAATTATACTTTCACTAAGGGTATTGTGGTAATTGTGCACACACTAACTACCACCACATTAATGGACCCCACAAATTAATACGTTACCATCTGTCACCAACCTCACCATTTTTCTCTCTCTCACACACTCTAACTCTCTCACACACACGCACACACGCACGTGACACACACACCAACACACAATCGCCGGTGGAAAACACACACACACACGTACAGCGGCACACCGGCACCTAACCCACCGCCACCGTCCGGTCGCCGCCGACCTCTCACAGGTACCTCCCACCGGCGTAAGACGCAGTAACGTCCGGAACCGTCGCCCGCCGTAGTCTGTCCGCCGACGTCAGATCCTTCATCCGACGGTGAGGTTTCCTCTTTTCCTCTGCCTTCGAATCGTCTCTGCCGCGCTCTCCCGATCTCCGGCCTCGAAAAAATAAAGGACGAGCAATATAAATGGTTGGAGACCGGATCCCGTTAAAATTCGAGCGTGACGGCAGCCGGATTTTCAGATTAGTCAATGCCACTAGAATGCTTCGTCGGCGAGCAGAGGGACGGGTTCCACGGAGGAGCAGACGACCAAATCGCCGGTGGAACGGCCGGAGAGCTTGACATGTGGGCCTGTGTGATTCTCATAATTTTGAGAATTAGATATTACCCAGGGACTTGATTGCAAATTTATAAGTTTTAATTAAATGTCAATTTAGTCCTTGGGCTAAATCTATAATTTATAGAAACTTTAATGTGTAGTAAATTTGTAAATACAAATTAAGGATTTAGGATTCATGGACTGTGTTAAAAAATGATAAAAATAAAAAAATTGATAGTGTTGAGGCACAATTTTGCAATTTTATTAATTTTAAGACTATTGTTTTAATTAAATTCATGACCAAATATGTAACTTATAGCAATATTCTCATAAAATGCATACTAATGGTAAATAATTTGAATAATGTTTAAAATGTCTAGTAAATAAAAATATTAAAATAATAAATATATATTTATAATAATAGATAATAAATTATTTTAAGTATTTAGATTAATTTGATATATAATTATTTTTACTAAATTTAGTTTTCAAAAAACACATAATTTATATGGAATATTATAAATTAGTGCATTTTATATATTAGCAAGATGCACTTGATAATATAACACGTTGCACCTAATAAAACAACATGTTGCACTTTATAAAATAGAACGTTGCACTTTATTACCACACTCCACACACCATAAATAAAAAAAAACGGATATATGTAATATTTTAAAATCAATCATATCATTATTCCACACAAAACACAAGAATGTCTACCGTACCAAAATCACAGCAGTTCACTTTATAGTTTATACATCAACACATTGCACTGTATAAAACATCATGTTGCACCTTACAAAACATCACGCTGCACTTTATCACGGCTATCGGATTCCTCCATATATATCGAAGCTAACCGAACTAAAAACGTTCATCAATAAATAATATAAAAAATAACAAATAAAAGTATTAACATATTCAATATTATTGTTAGTATAAATAACAAATCATTTTTATTATTTAGAATAATTCGATTAACAAAGCCGAATAAACCAATTAGTTATGTTCATTTTCAATTTAACTATCAGGTTGCACTGTAGTGTTAAATAATTGGTTGCACTTTATAAACTAATATATTGCACTTTACAAAACAAAACGATGCACTTTATAATGACTATCATATTACACGATAAATATCGAAACCGATCGAACATAAATTATTTCAACCAACAACAGTATAAAAATAATAAATAAATTTATTAACATATTAAATATAAATTTAATATAAATAACAAATTATTTATATTATTTAGAATAATTCGGTTAATCAAGTTGAATAAGTCAATTAATTATGTTCATTTTCAATTTAACTATTAGGTTGCACTGTAGTGTTAGATAAGTTGCACATTAATGACTATCGGATTGCACTGTATTAACCGATACGGGCCGAACTAAATTTTTCGACTCGAAAGTTTACATTTATGTTCACTATATGTTTTTTACTTTTAAAATTTCGGATATTTCAATTCGATTTTGACTTTTTTTTAAGCAACAAAAACAACCGAACCGATCGAGTTACATAATAATAAGTATTACTATTATCCAATTTATTTAATATATTTGTATAAATTATGCATTTGACCCATGTATTAAATTGAGATTTATTAAAACTTTTTAAATTTGCAATTGAGTCCCTTTTATATATCTAATTCTCAAATAGGAGCCGGCGAACGGCGGACTGAGAATCTATTAGTCCGGTGGGGTTCAACATAGGTCGGAGGTTGTTCTGGTGGTCCAGCAAGGGTCGTCGGTGTTAATGGACGGGGAGGCGAACAATGTGGAGGAAAGGCGAGGCGGCGGGAGCAGAAAAAAGAGGCGGCGGCGAGAGTGGAGTAAACGAGCGGCTATCGGTGGCGGTGGTGGGTGGCGGGTGGAAGGAGGCGCAAGTCGCCGGTGGATAGTGTGTGTGTGTGTGTGTGTGTGTGTGTGTGTGTGTGTTTTTGTGTATGCGCCCCCGCAGCAGTGTGTGTGTGTGTGCGTCTATGGGAGTTGTGTGTGTTTTTGTTTGTGTGTGAGAGTATGAAAGAGAACAACATTAGGATATTTGGAGTGGGCCCACTATTAAGGATTTATTGTATAATGACTATAATAACTTTAATAAGTAGTCAAAATGGATATATTTGACCACCATATAACCACTTAATTACGAGGTTGCCATAGCATATTTGACTGACATTAAAAAATTTTGACTTGATCATGACCATTGGTTTGACGGATCTATTGGTCCACAGTCATTCTTATTTCTTTCACTGTCCCTCATTCTCATATGATCCCTTCTCTCTCTCTCTCTCTCTCTGTATATATATATATATATACTTAGAGACACTTAGGAAATTTGTAGGCATTTAAGAACAATTAGTACAAATAGTATACTTAAAAATTAATTTAATACTTAGCATAAGAATTCAAATAAAACACTTAGCACAAAATTTCAAATAATCCCATAGCACCAAAATCACATAATCACGAAAGCACCCCAAATCAAATAATCACTTAAGCATAAAATCCCAAAATCACAAAAGCATCAAAATCAACTAATCACCTCAATACCACATAATCACATAAACAATTAATCAAATATTCACATAAGCAAATAATCAAATAATAACATAGGCAAATAGTCAAATAATCACTTAAGCAAATAAACAATTAATCAATTAAGCAAATAATTAAACAATCACTTGAGCAAATAAATCACAAAACACACTAACATAAGACAATTAAATCAAACAAGAGCAAATAAGAAGAAATAAACAACAAGATTTAAACTTAGCCAAGCGATGCCAATGCTATGATTTAATAAAATAAAACGGGGCGTTACAACAGGTCATTGGGGTGCAACGTCTCGCGACACGCAGCGCTCGCGGCACGCCGCGCATTGCACGCCTCCGCGCGAGGTGTCTGCGAGTGCTCGTGGCCAGTTCCCGACAGCGACCGCGGCTACTGCGACCTCACAGAGCGGCGTCTGTTTTTTACAGCTCCCCCGACATACCCACATCATCTCATCCCCAGGTTAAAAGCACATATTTGGTGCTAATACCTTTGATTTTAAAAGAGGTTTTTGCTAAAAATAAGGTTTCAACAAAAATCAATTTTGGTAAAATAACCATGGGATTTGAATTCATTTCTCAACCATTTTTCAAAGTCAATAAATCACAATTTTTCAAGGTAAAATGGACAACATTTCAGAGGCTAAACATGCTATATTTTTTAATAAAAAACATGTAGGTACTAAGGCTTCAAGATCCCAAACATAAGGGCAAAACAATTTTTTTTCTAACCACTTCAAGGCATAATTTTCAAACTTTCTCAAGTGATATTTTAACACTAAAAATATTTCATATCACACCAGAGGCTAGGGCTTAAATTTGAGAGTCCAATTACCACATAACAATAAAAACAATTCTCTTGAATGCTCTTGAAACTTAAAGATCCAAAATCATTGAACCTTAAGCCAACTTAAACCTTCAAATTTGATCTAAAAATAATATGAAAGGGGTAGATCTATACCTCATTTAGGAATCTACTAGCAAAATGAAGGAGATCGGATTTTGGGTGCTTGCTCGGCAAGGTCATACGGCTGCATGAGTGGTCTCGGCCTTGGCTTGCTTGCGGACAGGGGCTGGCCTCGGTTTTCTGCGTGCGCAAGCAGTGTGGCTCCTCTTCCACCAAGTACTGAGGTGAGCGAACGGAGGTCGGTGTGGGTCTCCTCAAGCCGGCGGACAGAGGCTGGCGATGTAACGCCCCGTTATTTTTAAAGGTAAAATCCCAATTTTTACAAAATACATATAAATTTTTTGAAAAACATTTTTCAATTAAAAATCATTTAACAGGCATTACTTAAAGACTCAAAAACCATTTTTGACTTATCTCCATTCACATC